AATGAAGCGGTGGAACCTCCATTGCATTTACGCCGCCAATTCCTTAGCGACAAATTTACAGTCCGAATTATGTCCAAAAATTGTAAATACCTTCAAGATCTTAATGAGCTATCAGTTTTAGACCTTATCCATAGGTACTGGAGAACTAAAAAATCTATACCTTTGGTAGAAAGCTATGTAAGTACTGTAAAATACAACGATATTCTCTATAAAAGTCAAATTCCGCCCTACTATGGTGAAATGGCCAAAACACTATTTTCTAGAAAAGTTAGGATATGTTACTTAAACTCACATTTACTCCCAAATATGTTTGATATAATTATTAAAGAAAAATGGACAAATTATCAGTACATTTTTACTGATGGGTCAAAAGATGCAACTGGAACGGGCTGTGCAATGTTCCACGAAAATAAAAATTACCATCATCAGTATAGCTTACCCAGTGAATGCTCAATATATACAGCAGAAATGATGGCAATATTGTTTGCTCTTCAGTATGTAGTACAAAATCCTACTAACAACTATGTTATATTTACTGACAGTAAATTAATTACTATTTATAACTGGGAATAAGCCACAATTAAAGATAAAAATACAATGCCACAAGAAAATAGCTTCAGAACAATACTGACAGTAAAAGCGTGGTAGACAGATGTAACAACATACAAACAGTCAAACACATAAACCACATTGAACTGAAAATTCTTTATGAAACTATACAATTAGGATTAAATGTAATAATTACATGGATCAAGGGCCATTCGGGAATAAAAGGCAATGAGATCGTTGACAATTTGGCTAAATCGGCATATATTCTTGGAGTAAAAGTAAACAAAAATTTAATTCCAGCGACAGATATTGACACCGTTAGTAGACAAAAACTTAAAAATAATTGGCATTTACATTACACAGAATGTAAGACTGGCTTAAATTTTTATCATTGTAACACTAGGATACCCTCAAGAAGATGGTTCTACACAGAATCTAATCGACATTTTATAAAGACCATTAATCGGCTGCGAGCAAATCATGCTCTTACGCCATCTTACATGCATGGAATCGGCTTATCAAATACTCCCAATTGTACTTGTGGCAAAATAGGCGATCTAACACATATTATATTAGAATGTGATTTACAAATTAATAATATAAACGAACTTTATAAGAAATTAATAAATTCTAAGTGTTGTTTTCCAATAAACCTTAACCTTTTAATATTTTCAAATAATATGGAAATTCTTCATTGCATTTACAAACATGTTAAAATGTGTAAATACAATATGTAAATAGTATATAGCCATAATCTGTTAATATGGTTTGAAAAAAAAAAGAAAAAAAAACACAAATTAAGAAAAAAAACAAAAGAATTAAGAAAATAGATATAGAACAAAAAACAAAAAAAAAGACACGTCATTTTTTAAACTAATTTTAAATAACGTTTAAGGACTAATTGTCAATTAAAGGTTGAGTTTTTAAATACTCCCTTATAACTCAGTTGTACGGTTTTATGTGTACACATTTAATCAGAGAGTTATTTATTGGTATTTTATTATTATATATTTAAACCTTTGGACATCTATCCCTTCAGGATAGTGTCCTCATTTGGATCAGTTGTGAACAACCAGGGAATTTATTTTTTGTACATAATTAACTAGGTTGACTGTACATAATTGGTGGTGGGTATTTTAGGGTAAATTTAGATTGTATATATTTGGATAGGAATTAAATTTTTGGTGAAAACTAAATATTTCAATTAATACCTGTTTCCCTTTTTATTTCAGCAAACAGCTTTAGAAGATAACTTGAAAAGTTTATGTTAATACTTTCCTGGCGCCCACTCACATTTTGGAACAACTTCTATAATTACTTTTATTTACATTAATTATATACCTATAGATTGTTTATTACTTTGTCATTAATTTTCTTATTCTACGGTCTCTGTAGGGCATGCAAATTGGCCGAATCCTCTTTTGAGTGTCAAGTAGTCACTCTTCGACACCTTCTGCTAGCCAGCTTTAGTTTATTTGTTTTGATACATTACTCCACATACTTTTATTATATTGACATCCTAAACCTCGCAGTCCACACACATTATTTTTTGTTACAGAATATTAACCAATCAAAATCTTTTAAGTAGAAATCCTCCATAACTCGAAAATTCTATTACAACTTGAATTTGTTGACGTTTCCCTTGATGTTCGACTTATACGAGGTTCAACTGTAATTAAGTAACTTTGTCCTCTCGTATTATGTACATATTACATAAAAAAAGTCTTAAATTTAGGATTATATTTAAATAAAAACAAATTTTGGATTGCTCTGCCGTAATTTCAAACTATCTGTTAGTATTCAAACTTTTTACTTTTATTTTATTTTATAAATCCCTGTAATCACAATCCAATTTCTTTAAAAGATTTCCCCAGGATTATGGATTACCCAGCCGGCTAGATTCTCTCAACATCATTGTACGTGTTTCTCGTTTTAACTCACTAAAAATTCGTCCGCAAACAGAGCCAACATTAACTATAAGATAACTTCAAACTAACCAAATCAACATTAATACTAGCATCAAACATAAACAATTTAAAGTGCTATTGATGTTTATCATATTTAGGGACTCTGTTTGTGACTAACAGTTGAGGGAATATTTACTTATGAAATGGGAGTTTGGAAAAGGAGATCGAGGGTTGAAACCTGTACACGCCCTTTACGCATTTATGATAAAATAGAATATGTAATTTGTGAGAGATACTTTACAAAAACTGAATATTTCCCGGATGCAGGGCAAGCAAAAAATTACAGAGATAGAGGAATAAGTCATAAAATAAAAGTTAAAATGTTCTCCCTTTTTCTTGTTTTTTATATCATTTACTGTTGGTATATAGTTCAACAGAAGACAGCTGAATTAAAGAAAAGTAACAAGTTTATATACAATCATGCACAAAAATATCTAATATTTTGGAATTTTCTAATTTTTGTCTCTTTTCTCTTCAAAATAAATTCTGGTCAATCGTCATTTATTGTGAAACAGAGTTTATTTTAACAATGTTTAATGAACAATTTTAAGTTTTTATGCGCAGAAAATTGCAAAAAAATTAATGCTTAATATTGAGTAAATAAGGTTATTTTACTGTAAACTTAAATGCTAATCAAAACTGCCGAAACAGTTTTTTAACTGAAAGAATTACATGACCAGTAACGAGTATTCCCTCCTCTAGCTCCTATTACTGCTTGCATCCTTCTCGACATGATTGCAAGTAAATATTGGACATATCCTGGAAAATTACATTTCATTCATCTTGTGCAGCTAGCTGAAGCCGCTATATCATATTTGGAACAGTATTTCTTTGTCGTTTTAGGTGATCCCATATGTACTCTATTGGATTTAAATCCGGGTTAAACGGTGGCCAATCCAATCTTCGCATTTGTACCTCATAAAGATAATTACGCACTATATCAGAGGCGTGTGGTCGAGCATTATCGTGCATTAATATGAGTTTTTAATATCCAATGTAACCAACATATGATAAGAGTATCCCAACTAATACCTTCCCAAATAATGCCACCACCTCCAAAACTTACGGTCTAAGCGAGATTGCAGCTAACGAATCGTTCTCCAACTCTTCTCTAGACGTGCTTTTGACCGTCTGGCTTACATAATAGGATTCTGGTCTCATCAGTGAGAAAAACATTTTTCCAGTTGTCGATATTTTACAAAGTATGTGGTCTTACAAGTTCTTAAACAACTGAGCCTTATGATTTTTTAGAAGTCGTGGAACTTTGGCCAGGCATCTAGTCTTTAAGTTTTTAATCTTTGTCTAACTGTTTCTGAACTCACAATAACTTCGGTCCAAGGTCCACGGTCCACAATTTTACAACCAACTATGCCACTGCTCATGTTTGTTAAGGTGTTATCTAAATAAGTTGTGATTCTAGTAAATTTAATAATATTTATGGTTAAGCCAAAAGTAGAAATTAGATCACAGAAACTGTTTAGTTCATTAAAAGCTTTTTTGAAATCAAAGTTGAAATCTCCAATTAATATTATTTCTAAAAAATTTGCAGAGCAAAACACCAATAACTTTTCAAATAGGTCTAGCAAAACTTTAAAATTTCCATTTTCGATTCTATACACTGTTATTGTAAATTCAATATGACTCTAAAGTGAATTAATATACGATAAAAATTGGTCGAGTTGCCTGTTAGTTCCTGTTAAACATACCAGTACGTCGTCTTCATATCTCCATCAATATAAAAACTGTTTGAATATGGCATGTTTTGAAATCTTTATCTCTAGATCATCCATAAAAATATCTGATAGCAATGGGCTTAGAGGATTGCACATTATAAGTCCTGCACTGTTATTTGTATATATGTTATAATTAAGTCTTTTTCCGACAATAAAAAGTTGAAAAAAAATAACCATCAAGCTTGAATGTTGTTAGTTCGTTTTTTCTAAGCCAGTGTTCAGAGAAACACAAGATATTGTATATTTTATTGTTCAAAAAAATATTAAGCTAATCTATTTTGTTTAATAGACTTTGTGTGTTTACGTGAAAAATATTAACTAGGCTAATCTGGTCAGAGTTTGCTAAAGATTTTTGTTTAATATAAAATTATAAAGAGTTATTCGAAATAACACTTTCACTTCTGTTTTTTTCGGGTAATGTATCTGGTTTGCCTATATTCCTCACTGACTCCTCTTGATATAAGATAAGCATCTTAAATGCACTCCTGACAGCTGCAGTAAATTTTTTGTAACTATTTTATATTAGTCAGATACAACCAAGGCATTTTTTGAAGGTTCACAATCTAAGCACCCTAATTTGAAAGTTTCAGTGGAAGTTTCTGGTGACTTTGCATATTTTAGTGTAACAGTATATTGAAAATGAATATTATGACACCCCATACGTTACTTAATAAACAGTAGGAGCATAGGAAAAAGGTGGTCAATGGGACTATAGTCAGTATAACTGATAGATGGATAATAGATACATTTTAAACAAGAGCATTTATTTACAATTTTTCTTAGACAAAATATAAATAGTTAATATCACATTTTATATCACGTTTAAGCTTGATGCTCAATCTTACTCCTAAAATAAAAAACACTTAAAAAATATGGTAACTAATATAAGCTATTTGGACAAATCCTAATGTGAAAAGTTTTTGTTCTTATTCTTGTTATTTTCATTGAAGATGTTGATCAACGTACAAATGATTAAACAACCTGAAGATCCTATTTTCGTGGTGCTTAATGATAAATATTTTATTGCTACAGAATTAGTCTAAGAAAGTTAAAATCCTAATTAAGCTGCCACCCTTTCCTCTTTCCAGCCATTTCTTTTAATCTGTACAACGATTTTTCTATATTGGCTAGTTCTAACAACTGGTCTTCCACGTCGTTACTATTCTTTAGGTCTTCTAAAATTTAAGACAACAATATATTAGTACTAGAACAGTGATAAAATTAAACATAGAGTACAAAGTAATAAGCAATAAGCTGAGATGTACAAAAGCAAATATATGTGTGTCAAAAAGCAGCAACAATGTGAGGTAAATGTTAATAAATACTTTTTTATTAGTGTTTAATTTAGAAAAATGAAATAAAAAATTGCATGCAAAAAATTAAAAAATGTCTGCCATTTTTCACTTGAAAGCTTTAAGGTACTCTGTGAACACTTTTTTTCCTTTATTCTAGAGATTAGACGTTTTTTTGGTATTAAAATGTGCTTCATCTTTTCATCCGATATCCCACACATCTTGATTTCTATTATTCTTCGTGATTTTCCCCTATTCTTTATATATGTTGTTTCTACTTTATTCTTTGTTTCTTTTTTATTTTCACATTCAACGAATTAAGTCTTCATCTGTCTGTTTTCCATCTGACTAGCAAGTCTGGTAAGCTCTTTTACTCTTGTGATTAATCTCATTTCGCTAGCTGTATTCTGGAGTTATCATTCCTCAACTATTGCGGATATATACTGAAATCTGAAGTTTGTGATAAATCTTTCTCGAAACTTTCTCTCGGAAACTCTAGACAATGGAAATGACCCACTTGTTCTAGTAAATGATTGTCACTACTATGTTTTCCTTTAGATATATAGTAGCACTTCTCGCTGATGCTTGAAATTAACTTAACTGACTTTCCTGGTCGATGGCCGTAGGTAGTGCCTACTATTCGGTCTTGTGGTCCGATGTTTTTTTTACTTTTTTTTAATACCGTTTTCAATGTTGTTGGAAGCCTTTGAGCATCATCTCTTTGGTTTAGACTGTTGGGATGTTTCTCTATTTCTATTGATTCTCTGATTTCACGTTTTCTTCTAATTTCAATGTTAGCTAGTATCGTAGTTTGGTTCACGTTTATTGTATGTCCTATGTTTGATACATGTTGGGCAAGGGACAATGTTTTTTCTCTTCTTTCGATGGTCTCCTTGTCTATCATTAATTTTTCGTTTGGTCTGTACGATGTACGATTTCTCACAGTCCCCACATGGAATCTCGTTTCCTCCTTGATTTTCTAACAATATTTTTGTTTTGGCGGATGGTAAAATGGTTGAGATTTTTCTGTCGATATTAAATATCGTTTCTATTTTGTGTTTTCTTAGCACTCTTCCTATTTTTTTCTGTTGTACACTTTACATGTGGTAGAATGGCCTTTGAAATCGGTTTTTTCTCTTCTGTTGGATCTTTAATTATTTTTTGAACAATATGAACATTTCCAAATTATCTGATAAAGTGGAACAAATAATTGTAAAAAGTAGTAACTCTAAAAATTCTAAACTTCTAAAAACTCTAAAAAGTAGTAAAAAAATTAGGTTTGTTAATGAATTTGCTGCAAAAGAGATTTAAAAAACATTATTAGAAAAACTTTTGGATCTAATAATTTTTTCTACTTTTTTTAAGTTTTTAAAAAAATATTTGAAATAATTATTTAAAAAAAAATGAATTTTGATAATATAAATAAATTAGAATAGCAACCCATAGCAAAGTATCTACAAATTATATATTAAATATAAAAGCTATTCATTAATAAAGAAAATGAAACTTACTTGGTTATAAAAATCTTATTTTTAATTAGAATAGTTGTTTGTCTGACCATAGATACTTTCTTCTGAACAACGATACTATCCTGGATGTTGTATTGAGAAGATTAGATCTAATTGTTATACCGTATGATTTGAAAACCATTCAAAAAACATTCTTGTGAGTCAGTCCTCTTGAGTGGAGACCAAGAAAAATTTTTTAAAAATCAAAAGTTGTGCTGTAATTAACATCTATACTAATATACTTTGTGCCAAAGTACAAGTAGATTTTCACTCAGTTCTGTGTTGTGTTTGCATCAATGAAAAAGGTTATCATAGAGAAAAGTTCTCTTCCAAACAGTTCTATCATTTCTCATAGCTAGCACCTCCCCATACTTAGTTAAATAAGCACTACTATATCTATACTTAAATAATACATACTTTTTTGTTCAAATCTTAGAAAAATGTCCGTGATGAATTCCACAAGAGAGGTTTTTCGACGCTCTCATAAACACAGTCAAAAAGCATATTCTCAAGGATACTAAAAAGAATATATCCCCAAATAGAGTGATACTTACGAATATTTTTATCGGAAGTTCCTTAAAAATGGAAATCAGATGATTACCGATGAACTATTTGCCTTTTTTAACAATGCTTGTACGAAAGAAGTGTGGACCTCAAAACGTCTACAGATTCTCTCCACACTTGAAGTCACCAATAAAACTGAAAGTCAAACGACTATTACACCAGTTACATTAGGCTCATCGTCTGGGCAACAAAAACACACGACCAAGAGCAAGAAAGAACTGAAGTCTCTTTAAAGACCTAAAATGGAATCATTCTCACCATTAACTAAAGAAAATATATCCGTTACGATCGAATACCTAAAAAACCACACGGTTTTGACGTCATTTTTCCAGAGTTAATGATACACTATGAAAAATGTGCAAAACTGTGGGTTGCTCCTCCAATATCATTCAAAACCTAGGATTGTTCATAAAATGAAAAATTTGTCGACCTTTTAGCCTAATATCTATTTTATATAAGCTTCTTGAAAGAGTCATATATAACAAAATCACTCCTTACATACTCGAAAGAATAGCCATAAAATAAAAAGGATTCCGTTTATATCGCAGAACTTCTGACAATATACATTGCAGTTTAGTTTTAAATAAATTTACAAAAAACTTAATATCCATAGATTAATTGACGGAATATGACACTCTCTGGAGACAGGAACCTATCTAGAAGCTTCTATACAAAGTTCCATGCGTAACAACCGTTTTTCTTATAGATAACCTCTCGAACACAACGCTCCAAGTAATTACAGAAAATTCTAAAAGTTTAGGGAAAAACTTATGTAATAGGCTTTCCCGCTACTCTTGCAGTCTTACCTCTGACTTATTTTAGCCGGAATATTGAGGATACTCCCAACATAAAATGTAAGAAGTTAACATATGCAGATGACAGGGCAACAGCGAGCCAACAGCAAAAGTCTCACAGCTGAACTAAAAAGACTTAGAAGCTATCTTCTAAAACGTAGACTACTGTTATGTTAACAAGTTTGCATTTGGATAGCAATGTCGCAGGAAATGAACTGTTTGTATGCTTCAAAAACCAATGCATGTCCCACATAGATTTTTTAAAAAGTTTCTGGGTGTCACATTATGCAGAACTTTGACATTCAAAGAACATCTAATGTCTAACAAAACTTGCTGCTAAAATTGGAATTCAAAACAATATTTTTCTATATGGCAGTAATATGACCACTACTATGTGGGATCTCCAGCTGAGACATGTTCTTAGGCCTAACATTCTCCAACTGCCAGACCATGAAGACCTAGGTGCCTTTGAGAGGTAAAAACTGGAATCCAGAGATCCACTCCTAATAGCAAACTAACAACTATCGAGACAAAGTTTCATGTTTTCAATTAGTGGCAGGCAAAATAGTTTCAAAAATCATCTCCACAAGTCCACAATCTACGATGTATTACACAAAGGCCATTTAGCTTTTGTGCCCATCAAGGAAAACATGGACATGTTTCAACAGAGTTGGCACAAACAATGGCAAATATATTTTAAACAAATGCTGTAAATTCATGGTACCGAATGACTTATTATTATCGCAATTGACTTTTGATGTCTGAAGCAGAGGCTGTTATTATTTTTCTTATCTACCTCAATCATCATGAAACAAAAAACTTGAAGATTTATTGAAACTCAAGTGAACATGCACGTCTTCTTCGTAAGTATTTTGAAGAATAATAAACCTAGTACTATGGTTCCATATTTGTCCATTTATTCTTTTAAATAAAATAATAATTACATATAATCTTAACAAATTAGTTTATTTTTAACATTTTAGTATCAACACTTATAATCATAATTATCACACTCATATATCACTTGGTGATTACTAAGAGCACCTAAATACAGTATTTTCTAGGAACATCAAAATCACTCCAAAGTTTGTACTAAGTTTAAAATACATTTTAAATGAGAAAGTCTTTGATAAATAAAAATCAAGAATATAGTAAATTTTGATACAAAAATTTTTGTAGTCAATGATACAGAGTAAGTATGTGAAACTTTTATTCAGACGATTTTTCGAAAATTTATTTGGTCATTTTGGTCTTATTTTTCAATATTTAGTTTGTGATTACTACAATGTTTTATTTTTTATCAAAATTTGCACATACAACCTTCTAAACACTCGTCTTAATTTGGTTTTTTAAATGATCATCAAAAGAAAAAGTTTTCTAAAAGTCCCTCTATAAAACACCGCAAAACCGGAAATATTTAATAATAAAACGAAGTCTTATTCGAGCCTCGGTATCTAAAACATATCTCTTTGCTTGCTTAAAACAATAATCATTATCGAATTCTAGTTAAAACGTAATAATCTCTTAATGAATATTTTAAGTGATACAAACTTAATTGTAATGTGATACGAAACGAGTCTTTACTGTTTACAAAAACAATAAATTAATGCATTGTGAGTACTAAATGTATACAACTGCAGCCTGGAACAAATCAAATAAGCTTAACAGAATAAGCAGCTCAAGTTAATCAAGATCAGAGAAGATCGCTGGGAATAAAATATTAGATCACAATAACATCGAAGAAATCTGAGAAAATTTCAAAAATAACATAATTAATTCAGCAACAAAATCATTTGGAGAGAGGAAAGTAACAAACACTAACATAGTAAGTTAGTGAAAGAAAGTAACAACAAATGAGGAGGTCCTCAGAAGAATGAATAAGAACCGAGAGGTACCGACCACCATCAAATCTCGAAAGTTACAGTTGTTGGACATATTATGCGAAATGAATCCAGATATGATCTTCTTCAAGCCGTCCTGCAAGGAAAAATATTTGGAACACGAAGTCCAGGAAGAAGAAGAACATCTTGGTGAAAGAACCTCAGAATCTGGTTCAATATAACATCTGTGCAGCTTTTCCGCGCCGTTGCAAATAAGATAAAGATTGCCATGATGATCGCCAACATTCGTAGGCACATCAAGAAGAAGAGAGGTGTTGAAGGTGCTGAAGAGAGGCACATCAATAAAATAAATAATATGAAGATTCTAAATAAAGGTCTTTGGCTATCTTAATTGGAATTTATAGAAATTAACAATTTAAAAAACAACCCTCCCCTCCTTATTTGTCTTAGACTTATTCAGTTAAAGACTATAAAGTGTATGGATGAAAGCACAGAAGACCCAAATAGTAAACATTAGTAAACATATAATAAAATCTAGATAATTGTAGCTCTATCAAAAGAAGAAAACGAACTCACCTTTATTATAGCAATGTATTTACTAATGTTGATTTTATTTTTTTAGACAGCCCTCAAAAAAATCTACAAAAAACACAAAAAACGGCTACTGCCAACAAAAGCAAGAATAAAACACTAACAAAAGGCGCAAGCTACAAAAAATACTAACAAGATCCAAAAAATGGGCAAGAGGGGCCCACATCCTCGAGCGCCGAGCTATCGAACTTTGTGTAACCCAGAGCGAGCGAACTCAAAACCCGAGCAAACAATACATATCGATGATAAGTCATTAGAGATAGCGAGAATAGAGCTCCCTACGCTGACCTGCATTGTTCGGAGTAGGATTTCGCGTGGGAGGCCTTGTACCTAGGACTCTTACATGACAAGAATTTTGCTAATAAGACAGCCACTGAGATCGTAGGCTTCCATGGCCAGAGTCAGAATTATAATTTATTCGTCTTCCGGGTTTGGACCGTGTCATTTGTGAGTGACCCAAAAGTGACCCAGAGATGAACCCACTTTTGGGTCACTCACAAATGACACGGTCCAAACCCGGAAGACGAATAAATTATAAGACAGCCACTGTAGCGCTAAAGTTTATAGTGTTTTATTGATTATTGATAGAAGTAAAAAGAGTGTTAAAACGTTTTTCATTTTATCCATGAAAATATAATTTTATGAATGAATGAAAATTTAATGTTTTAGTAGATTTGAAATGCTCATTTAATAAACCAAACCAATTAAGTTTTAAATAAAAGATGCCATGTTAAAGAACTTAAATCAATACATTTCGTAACTCTAATAAAAGTTCATGAATGCACTAAATGAGCTATAGATATTAGGAAACCCATTCACCATCGCCTGTATCCTAGGCACCACCACCGCAAAGAAGTATCCGATGATCGCATTCGAAAAAAAGCCAGTAGGCAATAAAGCACTTAACGAACCTGCACTTTTGTAAGTAATTTCTTTGACTAGAGGATCTGGTAGGTAATTTCCGCATTTAGGGAAATTTTCTGGAACCGGCAACATGTCTTCCTTTTCTCCCACTTGCACGATCATCGCCATCCCGATTTCGGAGTGGAATTCCAAGTGACAGTGGAGTATCCAATAACCTATAAATATAATATTTACAATTTCAAAAAACGTGTACCAAATGTATGTATTATATAAAACTTTTATGTTTGTATCCCTAATTTTATATTAAATGTATATGTGGACCATTATATCCGTGCGAGTCAAATTGTAACGCGAGTTTATACGCTGACCTTATGTTATGGGTTGACCTACTTCGAAGAGGAATCTTTAGTATTGTATTTTCCTTCCTTAGTATTGGAGATAATGAAGCTTTGCAGCGCATCTTTGGATCTAGCAATTTCCAAGAAACTCAACAGCACAAATATAATGGTCAACGTGTACTTCAAGTTTTTTTAGATATTTTTTAAACGATTTTCAATTTGTAAAACTAAGAGTTAAACAAAGAATCATTAAGTAATTTTTGGCTTTCTCCTAACAAGATATTTTATCAAAAGTAATCTGATGTGTTAAACGCCTACCTGGATTATCAGCCTTGAACCTCACGATTGTATACCCTCCATCTGGAACAGTAACTGTATCCTTCGTTGGAGCGTTTACTAAATTCCTCTTAATCAGTCCATCAGCGTCTCTCTGCTGTACTTGTTCAACTGTCACATTTGTACCCATCCTTTCCATCGCAACCACTCTGAAAGCGTAACCATGAAGATGGATTGGATGATTAGCATCATAAGCGAAACCTTCGTCAATAAATATCAATTCTGCCACGGCACCTAACGGGATCTGCAACAATATTTCGTTAACCATTGTGTTAAATACCAACACCAATGAAAACAAAAGCAAAATAAAAAATATTCAAAAGTTTTAAAGACCTATTGAACAATTTTGAGCCACGGCACCTAACGGGATCTGCAACAATATTTCGTTAACCATTGTGTTAAATACCAACACCAATGAAAACAAAAGCAAAATAAAAAATATTCAAAAGTTTTAAAGACCTATTGAACAATTTTGAACTAATCCTTCTAGTATCTTTAGTTATTGTTGTAACTTTGTTATATCTATATTATTTAGATCACTTTTAACTGCTCATTGCTCTATGCTATCAAAAGCTTTTACAAAGTCGTTAAATGTACATTAACCATTTTCCACACTAGTCCTGCATCATCTCCATAGATATCACAAAACTTGTGAAAAAAAAAGAATTGTAACCCTTTTTGTTTCTATAAACCAAAAATTTTCCGAGAAGCCGCTGAGATCGAACAACGTTCGAATAGTTTTAATAAAAGAGATGACGGCACCCGATTACTATTACCACGGTGACCTCTCGTTAATCGCAATAAAGTACCGTTCTCTTCGTCCAACAATCTATCTCCCACCCTCAAAGAACTTCACTCCATCTCCCACCCAAAAGTAAAGTCAGCGAAACACGTCACTATCGATCCTTTTGCTGCTCCCCCATATTTCAACAATTAATTTGGTATTCCATCTTTATCTGCAGCTTTTTCTCTCTTTAGTTTTTTTTGAACTTCATTTTTGATTAAGTGAACTTCTGTTTACGATAATTTCTGGAATTAGTGGTTTCAAACTTATTTATTATTCGTCTGTATATAATGTCTTTACATAGTCAATCCATGTAACCTTTTCTATGTGTTTCGGGTCTATTAATTTTTTCACCTCCGCTTTTTGATCTCTTATAAAGCGCCAAATTTCTTTTGTAAATCAAAAATCTTTTACTCCAGTTTAAATATGGATAAAAAAATTAAAACACCAGGAAATAAACAGATCAATAAAAGGGTGTAAAACCAAATAGTAAAAATATCTCTAGACAAATCACCAATAGAGCAAAAAAAACAATGATGTTACAATTTGTGTGACAGTAAACATTTGCTTTTCCTTTTAAAAAGAATGAAGAAAAAGATATAACTATAAGAATAGGACAATAGATACTACAGTAAAACAGGCACAGTACATGACTATAAAAAAACAGAGAAGAATGAAAGAAATCAAGGTAAAATGATGTCCAATTGTGGTGCGCAAATGGAACGGCTAGAGCAAGATAGGATTGGCCTTGTTTAATTAATATTTTTTAATGGCAAGCACTGCTTTCTGATTTAATCATCAAGGCTTATTGTTGGAGAAAGAGTTTCCAAAATAATCCGACACTAATAATGTACTGAGATTTATAGAGAACTGTTTAACACAGAGACATATTTGACCATTTCATTAGCTCACCTTTATTCCATGGGGGCACTGACAATGCGTCTCTGAGCAGTTCTGTTCCTTCATAGTCTCCTTATTACAGAAAAGGTCGTCTGTAATTTCGTCCCTCTGGGATAATAGTGGAAACGTTGGCATTGTCATAGAAATGTGATTGAGTTGAGGGGTTAATACTCTTTGCTTCAGGTTGTGAACTGAAAATAAAAAAGTAGTTTTAAACATAAATAGAGATCAACAAAATTGCTATTAAAAATACAAAATTTTGATGAAAACAATGATAAAAAGTAATACAACGGAATAGAAATGATAACTCTTCCACCAAAACACTTATTTCACTAACAGCGTAGACGTACCGTAACAGGGATTTATTTTTGTTTTCGAGCAATAGTATAAATATTTTAAACAATTACAATATATTTGTTTTGTGTAGTTTTCTAGCTGCTATTCTACGAGCAGATTCTAGAAAAAATATCATTTTTAAGTGTCGTTTTATAATTTTTCATTATTTTCTATTTTTTAATCCATTTCATAAATTTTTAACCATTTTATTTCCACTTTATTAATGTAATCTTGCTTATAATAATTTTAACGACTTTGGTGTTGCACTTACTGAGAAATGGGTACCCCGAACATCTAATATACCTATTGAAACAACAACATATACTCCGATAATTATAAAATAACAGCCGGTGTTCGCCAAGGATGTATTATCTCTCCCATATTATTCAATATATATAGCGAACACATCATGCGCATTGTATTCGACGGATGGCAAGCAGGAATATCAGTCGGAGGCCGAAAAATCAGCAATCTCCGCTATGCTGACGACACTTTAGTACTACCATCATCAACAAATGACCTTGAATACATCATGAACAGACTAGTTACTATTTGTCGTGAATATGGACTTAAAATTAATGTACAGAAGACCAAGGTAATGATAATCGATCGAATTAAAAATAACCAGCCGAAAATACGAAACGTAGCTGGGTTTGTTATCACAAACAATGGTGGATGCGAAGAAGAGGTACGTCGGCTCCTTGCCAGATCAGCAACGGTCAAACTTACTAAAATCTGGAAAAAAACGGACATAACCAGGAACACGAAACTACGCCTAGTACGGACGCTTATCTTTCTTATCACTACATTCAGAAACTTGGACCATTAAAAAGTCCGACTTACTAGGTATAATGGCCTTTGAAATGTGGTTATATCGTAGAATGATGCGAATATCCTGGACAGCACATCGCACAATAGTCTTAATATTGACAGAACAGAAAACTAGGCTTACCACAATCTTCAACCAAAATATATTGAGGTACTTTGGACACCCGTGTCGGTCTTAGCTTTCGTGGAGGAGGAGCTTTGAACTGAGTAGAGGCTCTTCTGTACTTCACGGAAGACAGACTGGGCGGGGGATGTCCTCAACCTCGACACGGCGCGTCCCATATGGCTGATAGGGAAAGTTCCTGCAGATATGCAGGACAGGTACGAATAAGGCATTGCCAAATAAGTACCCGCGGATCAACTGAGGATATGACATTAGGCAGCAGTAATGTCATTACTGGATTAAGGCTATAGGAAGTAAAGATCCTGTAGGCTTAATTTCAGATACTCACAGGCGTCACTCAGATTATGAGTTAAGCGACTGTGATACTGCGATATGGCATGGGGCAGCAGCTATGTCATTACTGAATCAAGGCCGCAGTGGAATGATTTCTGCTGTTGGCTTGATAACAGACACTCACGGGCGGACATCACATATTGATTCAACTGGCCGTAACACTGCGATCAGGCAGGCAAGGGGAAACCACCTGATTATTCTCCCGAGAGTACACTCTAAATAAATCAATGAGTAGCGCAACACAAAAAGTAGAGATGCCATGCGATCCGGTTAGCGACCGGCGCTGTCCTGATTCCGGGTCAGACAGTGTGAAATGGGCTACCGGGCACGAGTGTGCGAGCAACCAGGCCACTCGTGGTAAATGGGCGACTGAAAGAAATAACCAAACACAGAAGTTTCAAGGCAGAAAATCGATGAATATAGGGACATGGAACGTCAGAGGTCTTCTCCAAACTGGAAAACTTTACCTAGTAGAGAAAGAGATAATAAGACAAAATATAGACATATGTGGTCTAGCAGAGACACACTGGAAAGATCAAGGACATTTTAAAACACAAAACCACACTATCTACATATCAGGATCTCAAAATACAGGGCATAATGGAGTAGCCATACTTATAAACAACAGAATATCTAAATATGTCAGACAATATGAAACAATAAACGACAGACTCATAAAAATTACAATAGAAGCAAAACCGGAAAATTTCCATGTCATTCAAATATATATGCCCACAACAGATGCCCCAGATGAAGACATTGATGAAATATATAACAACATAGAAAACATACTAAAGAAGATACCACAAAAAGAGCCAGTATATATTATTGGAGACTTTAACGCCAAAGTGGGAAAAACGGATAATGAACCACATTTAAGAGGTATTGTTGGGTCATTTGGCTTGGGCATTAGAAACAACAGAGGAGAACGTCTTCTACAGTTTGTCAGTGAAAATAATTTAGTGATAACAAATACCCTTTATAAACACCACCCAAGAAGGCTCTCAACATGGACTAGTCCAAATAAAGAACACAAAAATCAAATCGATTACATACTCGTGCGGAAAAGATGGAAAACCTCAATAACAAATGTAAAAGCTATGCCTGGAGCATATTGTGGATCAGATCATAAACTACTAAAAATGAACTGCAGGCTCAGACTACACACAACTAGAAAAATACATCAGACAAAACAGATAAGGGTAAGTAATGCAGAAGAATTCCAGATGAAACTGATAAGCAAAGAAAAACCACAAGTATTAGAAGACACAAATAAAACGTGGAATGGAATAAAAAGCTGGATATATTCGGTGGAAAAAGAGTGCACATCGCGTAAAACCCAAAAGAACAAACATTGGATGTCAGGGGAAGCACTAGAGTTAGTGGAAAAAAGAAGAGCTATGCTACAACATATCTCAAAAACAGGAAGCAACACTCAAGAAATAGCGGAGATAAACAGGAAAATAAAATGTATGTGCATCAGAGATAAAAACAACCATATAAATAACGTGTGTCAAGAACTGGAGCAACATGCAAACCGCCATGAAAGTCATGAACTATTTAAAAAAGTTAAATATTTAGCCCGAGAGTTCAAGCCACAACTTCAAGCCATTCAAGACTCTAATGGAGAAGTAAAAACCGACATAGAGAGCATCGCAGAGACCTGGAAAAATTACTGCTCAGAATTATACAAAGACACTTCAAAAGATGACGCATCAGTTTCAGAACATAAAAAACATGCAATCAGAGAGGCTGAACCAATCATTTTACGAGCAGAAGTAGAGAAGGCTCTTAACCAACTAAGAAACAAAAAAACTCCAGGAATCGATGGCATAACAGCGGAGACTCTAAAAGCAATAGGCGAAATTGGCGTAGATGTAATGCTGGATATGTGCAACATGATATGGATCACAGGTGAATGGCCTGATGAGTGGTGTGAATCAACCTTGATCCCTATCCATAAAAAAGGATCACTAACCATATGCAGCAATTACAGAACCGTTGCCCTTATCCCTCATGCAAGCAAAATCCTGCTACATATAATCAATGAACGGCTAAAGAACTTTCTACTTCCAGAGATAGCCGAAGAACAATGTGGATTTGTACCAGGAAAGGGAACGCGTGAGCAAATACTCAACACCAGACAGATAGTAGAAAAAGCGAGAGAACATAACATACCAATGTTGCTCTGTTTTGTAGATTACACAAAGGCTTTTGATTCAGTAAAATGGGATCCTCTCTGGAGTATAATGGAAAATATGGGAGTACCTAACCACCTAGTTAACCTAATAAGAAATCTGTATAATAAAAACTCAGCCAAAGTTAAAGTACATGGAATATATTCAAATGCATTCAAAACAGAGAAAGGAACTAGACAAGGTTGCATACTATCACCATTATTATACAACATATATTCTGAATATATAATGAGAAAAGTACTAGATGAATGGGATGGAGGAATCACTATAGGAGGCAGAAAAATCAGTAACCTGCGATACGCAGATGACACACTTATACTAGCAGCGAATGAAGTCGAAATGATTACCATCATCGAACGGCTAAGCCGAATAAGTGAAGAATTCGGACTTCAAATCAACACCAGAAAAACAAAAATAATGATTGTAGACAGAGCAAATAATAATCTGCCGCATATACGCCAAATAGGGATTTTCGAAGTAGTCGACAGATTTGTATACTTGGGCTCTCTGATAACCAACAATGGTGATTGTTCCTCAGAAATCAAACGTAGACTAGGAATGGCCCGAACCGCAACTGCTAAATTAATTAAAATATGGAAAGACCGAACAATAACAAGGAATACTAAGCTTAGGTTGGTCAATGCCCTTATTTTTCCCATTGCTACATATGCAGCTGAAACATGGACTCTCAAAAAAATCGATAGGAGTAAGATCGAAGCCTTCGAAATGTGGGTATATAGAAGAATTCTACGCGTGTCCTGGACAGAACATAGAACCAACCTGTCAATTCTGGAAGAGCTTCATATAAAAGACAGGCTACTAAAAAAAGTAAACCAAGCATACCTAACTTACTTCGGCCACATAGCTAGAAGAACGGGCACCATGGAACTATTGGTAGTAGAAGGTAAGGTAGAAGGCCGAAGACCAAGAGGAAGATCTCCAATACGATGGGTGGACCAAATGAAGAGTTTGGTGGGAAAATCCCTACATGAAGCCGTCCATATGGCACAAGATCGCAGTCAATGGAGACAGCAGACTAATAATATTTAGGGTGTCACTACGCCCTGACAAGGGCTAAAGGATTGAGGAGGAGGACTTTGGACACATTACCAGACGAATGGAAGGCATGGAGAGATGATCAGACCAAATAAAGTGCGCTACCGGTTACTATTTGTCTGCGGCAGCACACTGCGCCCAGGAGAGAGAAGAATGGATAGCAAACATTCATCAAATATCATAACGTTACCACATCCTTAAGAAGGATAAATGATAGAGGAGGAGGTGTTGCACTTACCATCGTAAAATCCATAATGAGGTGGTCTATGAAACTCCTGGTTACTTATTTTGTAGAAATCATAAGCTATATAATACTGGAAATCAGGCTTTTCTTTTAATGATTCATCCCACGGCTTGAGGGACTCCATCTGCGGCATTACTATAACTGAATCGTTCTCTTCTACACCTTTGTTGAGTGGATTTACTTGCTAAAAATTAACCAAATTTACATATCCAAATAAAATATCAAAGGAAGCTAGGTAAAGTTGTTTATTTAATAAAAAAATATTTACCAGTCCATCAATATGAGAGTTATCGTAGCTGACGTTCTGTGGAGGATAACTGTACGGAGGTAGATCGTTATTTTCGTATTCCAAGACAGCTACTTGAAAGGCTTTCGTGAACCTCTCATCGCAATCCATCAGTCCTTTGAATCGAATCCAGTACACATCCTTTGGTTGGTCTGCTTTCAAGATAAAATCGAACCTCTCGCCGGCATAAGTAACAAGAGATGTCGCTGAAATAGAAACAAGAAAAATTATAGCAAAATAAAATTGTTATGTATATATAGGCTTCTTTTTCCCATCTTTTCTAATCTAAACACATTTCTCGATTGCTAATGTTCCTCCATTTGGACTATCTGCCTCCATCTAGAACGTTTTCCTAGGAGACTACACCAAGTTGCTTTTCACATTTTTGGACATCCTGCACTAACCAGGCGTTTTGTAGAGCGCAAAATGGCTCTCGTCCGTTAAAAGGTGTATTAATTCCTACTTTAGCAAGACTAGCAGCAATTTTATAATCAACAATTCCTTTATACCTGAACACCTACAGCAAAATTAGATTATCGTTCTTTGCCAGTAGCTTCAGGGATGGTTTGCAATTACATACTGTTACCAAAATATAAATTGTAGACTACAGAGCCTTTAGTACAACTTGGCTGTCTAAGGTAATAAAGATTTTGGTTGAATTAAGTAATTTTTGGACTGGGAGTAGTCTAAAATTGGGTATGAGATTGCTAGTAATTCTGTCTGAAATATTGTGTGAGTATTTCCGAGGGTTGTTGACAGTCAGGTGTTAAAATCAGTAACTACTCCTAATCCTTTTTGTGTTTTTATTTTCTTAATATAAAAGATGTGAGCACCTCTTTTAAATAGTGCAATTTTATTTCGTTTATGATAATACTTAGTTTTAAATCTTATTCTGGAGACATATTATATGTGGCCGTCTATGTGGTTTAAATTCTGAGCCTAGAGGCATCTTTTTAGAGCAATCTTCGTTGTATGTGTATGTATATACTAAGGAGAAATCTAGCAATACCCTTGAAAGACTAGACCTTTCTTCTTGGACACATATGACATAAGTCCTTGCACTTTTTGCTCTTATTGTATTTTGCTTCCTTATTTTGTTTGACCAAATCACAGCAATATATACAACTAGGGGTCTGACAACCTTCATATATGACGAACAGATTATTTTCATCATCACCATTATCATTGGTGCTACAGCCCTATAAAAAAGCTTCAACCTTCCCAAGTCTATTACGCCAGTCAGGACTATCCATTGCCAACTGTTGCCAGTTTGCTGCGCCTATTTTTCTACCATCCTCATCTACACCATCCCTCCATCTGAGTTTTGGCCTACCCCTACTTCTTCTTCCCACACGTTGTGACATAAGGATTCTTACAGAATCCTGATGTCGTACCTACCTATCGTAGAATCCTTCTCCTTACAAGGACGTACAGATAGTACGTCCTTACCACCAAATATATATTTATATCAGTGATATATCTCATAGTTGTACCTCCTTCTCCAAAAACCATTTTCAGAGATGCCACCGAATATTCTTCTCAGGATACTTCATTCAAATATAAGCAGGTTTTCATCTGTCTTGGAAATGGTCCATGTCTCTGATATATATGTCAACACTGGTTGTATAAGGGTTTTGTATATGGGTATTTTTGTTTTTTTGGCTTAAGTTTCTGTTTCTCTTTCTGTTTCTGCTTCTCATACGTCTACTCAATCCAAAATAGCATTTGTTTGCTAGGATTATTCTTCGCTTGATTTCTTCCGTCATGGCATTCTTCTTGGTGATCAGGGAGCCTAAGTATGTGAATTTGTTTGCCACTTCAAAGGTAGAATTATCAACCGTGAATTGGTGGCCAATGTTTCTGGCTCTATTGTTGGTTGTTGATGCCATTATCTTAGTTTTATCCTCATTTACTTAAAGGCCCATGTTTTTTGAGGCACTTGACAAGGTGGTATACATTGCATACAATGCCTTTGTTGTAATGTAGACACTGTTAGCTCAGTGATGAGAATAATACTTAAATTTCTTTGTAAACTTAAACATATATGTAGGTATTCATTACTTACTTTCAATTGGCTTAATATCTCCTCCGTCTGTGCTTATGACAGTTATTGTGTGATTATCCACAGTCATTTCTATCGGACAATTGAGGAATCCTGCATTTATCACTCGAAATCTGTATCGATATCCCTGCAAATCAAAGTACTGGATAAGTATTTCGTTAACACTATTTACTTCCATTTAAAATGAAATTGAAATTCTCTAAATACAAGCCGGTAAGTCTAAATTGCTGCAAAACTGGAATCGTAAAATAAGTAACTAGGTATCTGAATCAATACATTTAACAAAAGTTCATAAATGAAATAAGTTAATAAATATTACGTTACTCGCAAAATGAAACAAACATCAATTATACATAAATAAATTGGTAGGAAAACAGTTCAATGTAAAGTAGAATGGTATATACCATGTTCATTCCTAAGATAAAGTAGAGATCACAGTTTGAGAAACGTGATCGGTGGTAGTGTCGTATAGTCACAGCTTGTCATTGGTTAGAAAGTAATTTCTAACCAACGATAAGTTGCGACATTACATATACACCGATCAGTGTGACTTCGAGCTTATCTTGGAAATGAACGTAGTATAGTAGTTGTGAGTATAATAATAAACAATACCAAATATAGTAGTTTCTGTTTAGATCAGCTTAGGTTAGACCATTGTTAAATATGTGCTTTACGTTTGAATAATTGAGTATATATTTTATAATTTACTAACCTGTTCAACAGTAAATCGTGCAGTTGCCATAAAAAACGGTTCTCCAGTTTCGCTTTGATTGTCAAACTGCTTGTATCTACCAAGTCCATTGATCAACAAGGTGGGTGGTTTATTCACACCATCGTTGTGAAGATGAGCTAACAGTACTTCCGTTCCAAGCTGTGTTACCCAATCGATGATGGTCATTACATGAGATGACAAGTCATAATCATAGAGATTGATATGTGGATCCGTTTCTTCTGGAACATGCACGATCAGGGGACCATAACATCCATCTGCTCTTTGCATACCTTAAGGTAAAAAAGGAATAAAGATCTTGGAGAATTGTCGCATTTATAAGGTGGAAAAATATAAAAAAGTGTACAGGTCCTATTTCTATAACCTATCATCATTAAAATCTCTATGTGTTGCTTTCTGCTTAAACCGGCCATGATGTCGATAACTTTTAAAACACAGTTATTAGTGCAGTTTAGTCTTAATGTATCGGATAATGCTTAAGATCTCGTGGAGTGATCGAATCACAAATGAGGAGGTCCTCAGAAGAATGAATAAGAACCGAGAGGTACTGACCACTATCAAATCTCGAAAGTTACAGTTCTTCGGACATATTATGCGAAATGAATCCAGATATGCTCTTCTTTAAGCCATCCTGCAAGGAAAAATATTTGGAAAGCGAGTTCCACGAAGAAAAATCTTGGTTGAAGAACCTCAGAATCTGGTTCAATAAAATATATGTGCAGCTTTGATAGGCACATCAAAAACAAGAAGAAGTCTTAATGAGACTAATTCTATAATAATAAAATGATAAAATATAAGAATATCTAACTAAAGAAGTCCTTAAATGCTTTGACTTAAAATAGTAAAGGGTGACAACTAAAAATTTGGTGTTGTTTCATCATTACCTATATGTGAATGCCAGAAATGTGTTCCAGCTTGGGCTGCCTTGAACGTATATCTAAAAGTGTCCTGCGGTAATATAGGACATTGAGTTACGAATGGAACACCGTCCATATATGGTGTTGATTGCATATGTTGCCCATGCCAGTGGATGGTAGTTGCCTCGCTGGTCATCTTATTGCTAACGTCTACTACCACAGTATCATTCTGGCAAACCTGAAAAAATAATTAGGTAGTTGTAATATAAGTCATTTTGCAATTATATCATAATAAACTCATACAATAAATGATAAACTCTTACAATTGTAATAAGAAATAAAAAAATATATTAGCAGATGTGTAGCAGTTCTAATACAATCTTCAAAAAGTGATTGAGGAGAAAGATGGTCTAAGGCATTCTTTTATTAAGTTTATTCCATAGTTTAAAGCATAACAATTAAAACCTGGCATTTAGCTGCTAATTTTGGAAGGAAGAACATAACTTGCCTCAGCATAACTAGCTAAGTTTACTGGAAGCTTTGTACACTGGCACGAAGGTTCCTGTGGTTTTCAACAGAAAAAAAAACAACCAAAAAATTAATAGATGAAATCTGAAAATAACTATTTTACCAATAATACGTCTTCTCTTCTCTGCTTTTCCTACCTTCTCCGAAAAATGACAGATTATCCACCCATCAACAGTAGAAACGATTACAGACAAATGCCTTCCCGACAAAAACCAAAACACATCTGAAATGGGAGAAGATGCTTAAACAAGGTACCTATTCCAAAGAAGCATCCACAGCAAGAATCGCCCACGAAAGATAGCAAACAAGGCGCATGACTATTATACACCTTTGTCTATTCTCACCATCTATTACTAGTGAAGAAATCGAAGAGTATTTTAACAGCCGCGATAATAGTTGTATTTCCGAGAATGAGTAAAATTCAACCAGAATATTACTTAACGACAACTTCAAAGATCATGGACGTTAAATCTAAACACAATCAGACGACTTGACGCCTTTGAAATGTGGACCTATAGAAGAATTATGAGGGTTTCCTGAGTAGATAGAGTTACGAACAATGAAGAACTGAGAAGAATAGGTAAAGAGAAGGAAGTTGAGCTTACAATTAAAGAAAGAAAGCTACAGTGTCTCAGACATGTGATGCGGGGCTAGAAGTATGGCATCCTGCGATTCATAATGCAAGGAAAAATCAATGGCAGAAGAAGCATCGGAAGACAAATTTCATGGCTTAAGAACCTGAGAGAATGGTTTGTATGCAGCTCAAAACAACTATTTAGAGCTACTGCCTCAAAAATTAATAATAGCTATGATGATTGCCAACCTCCGTAGCGAAGATGACACCTGGAGAAGAAGAAGAACTTCAAAGAACTGTTTTTAACCTTGAAATACAAATCAACTCTGCATCATTGCTTGGAGCAAAATTGGCGCCCAACGTGGGCCCAACTTTACTAATAGAAAATAAACTCCTAATTTACAAAGTGTTGATCACTGATGTTATTGGTTTCAGTTTCTAATTTAACATCTAAATATTAGAAATCTGTCCGCCAAATATGTTGCGAATAATTCCCAGTACTCCTTTAGTTTGCCCCCTATCTAATCAACCTATCAGTTAAAATAAAAGCAATCCCATCAGTGTATAGCATATAATATATCTGTTTCATTTTAGTTGATAACATATTTACAAAAATTATAGTTTTACCTCTATGGCTGGTCCCGGTATTTGCCTGTTGACAGCTATAATCCCCCTTTTGGTACCATCGCCAGGAATGCAGTCTTTTCTATAACAGTCCGTCATATTATACGGGCAATCGTGACAAGCCTTGCTTAATGTATGGTAATGTTCTACCTCAAAATGGAATCTACACAGCATGGGTGGAGCTCCTACTATGCAGTTTCTTTTGCAAGGATTGCTGGCATCCAGAAGAACATACTCTATGTGGACATCTTCTGTGGAGTTTTTGTCTAGTTCTAAAAACGAAAATTGTGAAAGAAAACACAAAGAAAAAAACTTATAAAAATGAGAACTTTGTTTATTTGTGTTCAAGAATAAATATTTAAAATTCAAATGAAAACTATTAATAGTTCGACAAAACAAACAGAAACAAGTAAAATTAAAATTTTAGTAAAAATTTGTACTTTTTCTAGATTACTATTTATACATTGGTATTTACATTTTCATATTAACGGTTAAAGCGAATAAATATAATCCTCAGTTAAAAGGAATTTGCATAATCTTATCATAAATGAAAATAATTCGTTCATTATCTTTATTTTCATTTACAGCTTTCATTAAAAATATTTTTCTGTTTTGTTAAAGAACTAAGTTTATTACTCAACAATCTTTATCTCGATGACTATGTATATATTATAATATCTTTGTATTTTCGAAAAAAATATATTTATTGTTTCTCTATAGACCGTATTTTATTCACAAGAAGCCATAAAGCAGGAGTAGCTTGTCGGGGTGGGCAAGGTAGGCGCCGCCTTCTTCTTCTTTTGGTGCTATTCCTCTGTGGATGTTGGCAATAACATTGGTCCATACAACATTGGTAACAGCTGCTCTAAATAGATGTATGGTAGTCATTCCTGTCCACTATCTGATATTCTTCAACCACGATGTCCTTCTACGCCCTTGAGATCTTTTACATTCTGTCTTGCTTTATAAAATTAGTTGAAATAGTTGATACTTCTCATTGCGCATCACATGCCCTAAGTACGTCATCTTTCTGATTTTCACAATATGCATAATTTCCAGATCTTGATTCATACGTTGGATCACGGTGTTGTGTGTAACATGAGGGATATAGACTCGTGACATTCTAGTTTTCGTATGAATAATGTGGGGTGGCGATTTGAAAGGGATTGTGCCGGGGGTGTGATTGACATTGCGCTAAACACAATATGCACATTATCTAAAGATATATGTGTTGCCTACCCGCATACTGAGGTTACGAGCCGCCACTAGCATGAATGTCTGTGATTTTTGTCTTATTTCACACTGTTTCATCTTCATTTCAATTCCAGCTACCGCAAGACTTCTTAATTGGATGTCAAACGTCGAAAGACATGTAGAAAAATGGTGGAGCTCAAATTAAAAGAAAATGCTTTCATCTACTTTTATTTTAATTTCTTTTGTCTACATAAGGAATTCAAATAATGATGTTATGCAGGATAAACTATATAGATGTATAAATGGTTATTCCTAACATCATTCAATAGCTTTCAACAAGCTTGGATTCGTAGTTCTTCTAATTCGCCATCGAAGAGAAATCTCCTGGCGTCTTGTTAGTTTATTTAGAATTGATAGTATTGAGTTTTGCTTACCATTTGCTGGATTTTCTCTGTAGATAATATTTCCTTTCACTAGTGCTGCAAGGCAAATTACTACAGTAGTTGATAACAACATTGTATCTGAAACAATACAAAAACATAAATATGCACCTCTTAATATACATAGAAAAAGCAAAACCATACAACAATTAACCAAGTACATAAAATCATAGCATCTTGTATAACGTTATAACGTTTCGTTTAATTATTTTCTATTTACATACATTTTTATTAAATTTAGTCGCAATTGACTCCAATAAATGTTCTATTCTGAATAAAGCAGGGTCTTATACTGTTGCAAACGTTTAAATGTAAGTGAAATAAACATCCAACTAGGTCGTGGGCTGCCAAAATCAAAAATTTAAATTGCAGTCATTTAAAATACGGAACAGTGAAAGGTCAATTCATAGAAGCCCGACCATACAGCAAGTTTCACTAACTCGTAACAAGCTCCAGAGTACTACATTTCACCATCTGTCAACTAGTAGCGTAAATATGTAAGAAAGTAGAATTTGATTTTGTGTTTATCATATGTAGGTATTAGGTACCCACGCTAGCCGAAAAGTAGTATGTGACAAAATGTATCAAAGCTTGTAGCGCAATTGGCGCACAACGTGGGGCTTGTCTATTTTTTTCATTACTCTATGTGTTGATATTGTAATGGTAGGTGGAATAAAAAGCGCAAGAGCTAGTTACAGTTAGTCTAAAGTTGCTGGTCGAGCTTCCGCGAATGGACTTCTTAATATTTGGTATATTAGTTGTGTGTCCTAATAATTTTATATTTTGGTTGTTCATGGTATAGTTGTATGTTTCTTTTATTTTAAGTTAGGGTTTATCCCAGAACCACTGTAACAAGTACTTAAGTTACACAAAAACTCAATTTGTTTCCCTCTGAAGGCAGTCAAAAGGCTTTCACATTTAATGGTCTAAATATCAGCAGACTCAATTCTACAAGAAAGCAATGAAAAAGAACAGTTCATAGAGAATATATTAGCCAAGATTAATAGAACAGGTGCATAAACTAATTGAGTATGGTAAATATGAAATTAAACGTTTGAAACAAAATCAAATTGTGATTTATTAGAAGGAAAAAGGAATGCTCCACATCTTCTTGGGTGTGGCTCAGGAATTGACTAGGGTTTGGAATAAAGGATTAATATAAAAGTTGAAATTCTGCCTCCGAGATCACCATTCCTCACTATTAGAGCACGAAAGAGTTTAGAGCCGAAGTTCCACTAGGAGATGTCCTGGTACCATTTTGATATATATTATAGACAAAAGATATTCCTGAATTAAATTAAAGTATCATTGCTACAATCGCTGATGAGGCTACTAATTGACAATAATGAAGAAAAAGCAATGCAGAAGTTACAAAATCAATGAACTAAATTAAAAAATAAAGAAAGAAGTGAAGAATCAAATTGATCGAATGCAAAGCCATTAATTAAGAAATGGCATTTCAGGTTTTATCGTCTAACATAACTTTTAAAATGTTAAAATAAGTGCTAATTATTAAATTTGTTATTGAACAGAATGTAGTATCAGAAAATCTCGACTAAGTACTTGAACTCTAGTACTACAAATTTTGAGTTTTCAAGTTGGTATATTTGTGTAGACTATTCCTTGTATCTCTCTCGTATTCAATATTCTTGAGACCTTGTTTACAACCGAGACACATACTCTATATACCTCGCTATGCAATCAATTAGAAATTATGCAAATGTTATGTAATCGCCGCTAATTAGCCTGTGTTGTGAAATAATCGGCTTCTTTTGTTATTGTACCATCACCTGTGCGTTGAGTTGCATTGATATCACATTAACAACATTAGCAAGGACTTTCAGATATTAATATTTTAATAGACATTATATTTTTACCCTTGAATTATTTTAATATAAGTTATTATATAAATGAGCAAAGTTAAAAATAGTAAGAATCAAAGAGTAGTGTCTTCAAGGTTAGCATTGTTTCTTTTTTTGCTTTTTGCATATTTTTTTAATATAATTTTACAGAGTTACTACATTTTTGGCGTCAAAAATGTACAAGGATGGTTTTTTGTTTTATTTTATTAGATTATAATCATAGGAGACATGAAAAAATTACACAAAACCCAAGTCAAGTATTTAATTCTTTTTTGTTTTTGGTGAAGCTTAGAGAACGGTTTGAATTTATCAGTGACCAAGTCAGCAGTATCTGTGTTTACAAGATTCTCAATAATCTATGTTTTAAGCTTATTAATTATGTCAAATGTCTATCATGTCTTTATCCCAGACTAAAAAGGAACATGGAAACAATACTAAGAATATATGATAGATAAATTCAACAAGGATAGCAATTGTCTCAAAATTCCAACTAGGGTATGGTGAGATTGCGACTTTGTCGCAAATAATTAATGAAATTAATAATAACAATGTACAAAAAAAATTAACAACAACAATATACATGTAGTTAAAACACCAACATCAGCAAAAATAAAGATTTTTTAACCGACATCCAAAGAAAGAAATGGATGTGCTTATTGTTTAGCCTCAAAAGGTGTAAAATTCACATACAAGCTCAATAAAATTTAAATTTTCTCAAAGTTATCTGTACAGTGCTAAAAAGTCCCCAACAAATATGATAACTTCAATCTCCATAGAAAGTTAAAGAATTAGCTGGGGTAGTAAAACAAAAAACCTCAAGCATACTATTGGACAAACAAGGAAACATTTTAGTGGAGACGGAACAAAAATTAGGAAGATTGGAAAGAATATATAGAGGAATTATTTCATTCCAGAGACAGGAAAATATATATGAAGATAATCAGAGTAAAGGTGAGGGACCCGAAATAACAAAGTCAGAAGTTATGCATGCAGTAAAATCCATGAAAAATAATAAATCTGCTGGACCAGATGAAATACCAAGTGAATTGCTAAAACTGGACAATGAAAAAAACATAGATCTTTTAGTCCAACTACTGAACACAATCTATTCCACGTGAAATACTGATATCAACATTTATTTGTCTACCAAAGAAAGTAAATGCCAAAGAATGTAGTGATTATCGAACGATCAGTCTAATGTCACATATCTAAAAAAACCCGCTAAAAATCATCCATAATAGAATACACGCTAAGCATGGATATGAGTGATTCCCAATTTGGATTTCGGAATGGAGTGGGCACAAGAGAGGCACTTTTTTCCTTTAACGTACTGACCCAAAGATATTTGGATGTTAATCGAGATATTTATGTATGCTTTATAGACTACAACAAAGCATTCGATAAGGTAAAACATGACCGACTTATAGAAGTACTCAAAAACAAGAATCTGGATGTGAGGTATGTAACATTAATATCAAATTTATACTACAGCCAACGATTAAATGTGAAAATTGGAAGGATCAAATTGGATCAAATGTGAAAATTGGAAGAGAAGTCTCAGAAGAAGTGGAGATAAGGAGAGGGGTCAGGCAAGGTTGCATAGAACTTTTTGCATTTTTTTTTTTCATTTTGTAAAACAAGAATTAGCTACATGATAACAAACGACTTCACTGAGGTTGCTAGCCCTTAGGCAAAGTGTCTCTGAGGACTTGTCTTGCAACTCAGAAACTCTAACAACTCATTTTGGAAATAAAGTTTCAACAAGATGGTGCTCCTGCACACTATTATGGTGCAGTAAGAAGTTATCTAGATGAGGAATATCGTGGTAAATGGATTGGATGATGAGGTTCGATAGAATGGCCAGCTCGGTCACCGGATCTCACACCATTAGATTTTCTTATGTGGCGATACTTGAAGGTTTAGCCTACAGCACCTGACAGTATTGCCATTTTGAAATAACGAATTGTTGAAGAATGTAGGAACATTTTCCCCTATACGTTTGAACGTGTATGGCAAGATTTTGGCAATAAAATGCTATTACATCACCTGTTATGACTAGTTAGACTAGTAGATAAGTATATCCGTTCAAAAGATACGTGGAGGGAGTGGACTTTTGGCTAGCACTGTATAATTTAATTTAAATCTAACAACATTTTGAGGCGTTGTTAATCTTTTCGCTACAATAACTTGCGTGAATATAATTATTTAATTTAATTTAATTCAAAATTAATGATTTGCGTTTTTTTATCGTTTAATTAAGGTAATTTTTGTTATATAAATCGTCTAGATTAATTATTATTGTTATTATTGCCAAAAAAATAAGCACTTTGTACATCCTTCTCGCCGATGGATCTATAATTAAGTAAAAATTTTACATGTTGTGATATAATTGGGTTAATTATCAAAATAATACGTACATGTTCGTAGAATTTGCTTAGCAAATTCGGTCATTGTTAGCAGAATTATGGCTAATAAAACTGAAGGACTACAAGAAATCTGTAAGTTGCTAGTTGGGATGTCCTTATGTGATCTTGGACTTTTCAGTGTAAGAACTTCGTGTTGGAAATTCCAAAATGTCTTAATTGTTTATTTGGAAATAAAAATCCCTTGTATTATATTTGATATTTGTAATATACAGTTTTAAAATCCTAAACCACAGGAAATTTACAAAAAAAAAACTGAATTTTTGGCCTTTTTTAAATCCTAAAAAAATATTCTCCTATATATCTATATCTATCTCCTATATAACCTATACAAATCTTCTTGCTACTTAGTTTAACAAGGTTTCTGGATACCGTTGTAGTTTTTGCTGCTCTGCCTCTAATCTCTTTTTTATACTTGTCTAAAATGAAGTTGTTGTCTAAGATGGGACCTCTGTTTTTCCACTCAATTGTGATTGCATCCATTGTGATTTTTTTATTATAATTGCTATTTAGGTGGTTTTATCAGGTTTGAGCTTAAGTATCATCATTTTGTACTCTGTTATTTCTCTGTTGCTTGTGTTACATTGGATGGATCCAAACATTTTCTTCACAATTAAGAATATCTCAAGATTTATCAAATTTCAAGAAATTGATATTTTACTAGATTCATGAGTGAAGGAGAAATTCTTCCTTATAAACAGTCTCTGTCTATAAGGATAAAACGAAGAATGGCAGTAGAATAAGATATACTCTACAAGTTTAATTTGGTATGGATGTGAGAAGAACAGATCATACA